CTACTTTTTACTTACATTCAAATACATGGTGGTTGAAAAGACAAAGTGTTTTGCCTGTTTCCAATGCTGACACTGAAAATCAACTGCTTCTACAGTGAAACCTCTATCCATCGTTCCCGGAACTATCGTTTTCCCGGATGCATCGTCCGTTTTGTTCGGTCCCGAATACATCCCATATAAAATAATGTTACATTTTCCCGCTTCTATCGTTCCTCGAACTATCGTTTTATCGCATCGATCGTTCAAAAATCTTAGTCCCGGCCCACAATTTTCCCGCAATGATCGTTCCTGAGAATTTAAAATGCTGGGTTTAGAGATAAATTAATACCGAAAGACGCACAATGTTTTTGGAATAAACAGTAGCGGTAACCTGTTATGTCGCCCAACCAGCACATTCTTTTGGAATGAGGGTCAGCGGTGCAGGGGTGATAGTTGGAGTGAATGGCGGTGCCCATTGTCAGAAATTTTACGATTTTAATTAGGGTGCACTCATATTTCGTTCCAGCGATGCCAGATGGCATGTGCAGTGTGAATTTCTTCACAAATGCTTTTATTACAAGTTTGCCGAAGCGCACGCTGCATTGGCGAAAGTGAAGTCGTTCTTTTATGCGCATAATATTAGTGAATGTGACGAGGAAAACATTTTGAACGTGGAAAGTGCTCTGTTTGGTCTAAAACGTAAAGTTTCGACAAACCAGTTGTCCATTAAAGACTTTTTTGGTAAAAAGAAGTAACTTTGAAAGAGAAACATTGTTTTTTTTAAATTTTTAATGCTTTCCTGCATCTATCGTTTTCCCGCAATCATCGTTTTCATTTCCCACCCCCGCCGAAAACGATGCATCGAGGTTTCACTGTATATGCAACAAAACTCATTCTGTATTTTTCATATAATTTTAATAAATAATGAAGGACTGACTGGCATAAGAATAGGGGGTCTCAAACTTTAGTGTGCACATGGCCCAATCATGTGTTTTCTGTAAACCATATACATTGCTGGAAAATGTATCTTCAGTATTTGGCAATGCCTATCAAAGTAAGCAACTGTTCAGCTTAATTACAAACATCAAATCAAGAAATAAGATACCAAGAAATAAGATACATCATATTGATAAACATGTAGAGGAATGCATGGACACCACAAGATAAATTAAACCTGATATTAAAAAATTACTCAAGAGACTTAATGTAGTAGCATTTTTAATAAATTGCATTTCTATTTCAATAAATTTACATCATTTATAACCCTGCTACCCATGTGTCAATAATAATAACTAAATGTGGCCCCAGGCCTGGAAAAGGTTGAGAACCCATGCATTTGAACCTGAATCATTAATAGTGCTTCTGTTGCATAACAACATAAGTATCAATAGTCAAGACAATAGAATTGATGGGAGTGTAATGTGTTCTGGTATTGAAATCAAAAAATACAAATGTTTTGAAGGTGAAAATCATATCCTTCTTTCTGTACTAGCCAAGTAATACATTTTCACTGCACCAGGTTTTCAATGTTAACAGTAATTCACTGTGAAGAACTATTAAGTCCCTTTCTCCATCAAATAATACTTTTAGACACGTAATACTGATTTGTGTGAACAGTATAAATACAGCCTTGAATGATATATTGAATACAGACAAAGCCTGCTTGGATAGCCAACCTCAAGATTAACTCACAGACATCCTACATGCAATAAATATCTTCTACTTTAAGAAATCTCCTGTAGGGAATTAATTTTACCTTGGGCAGCATAACGCGTGGATCCATCTTCTCCCAGGACATTGTAGAAAGGCTGATGGTTTTTCTTTGTTAAATTTGGCACACCCATCTGTCGAATCCAATTTTCAGAAGCTGCACACAGTGGATCCCACCCATAAATCACACATCTATAGTTGAACAGACGATGCTGCATAATCATTCCCACTGCATATGTTATATTTTCATTTCTCAGTTTTGGCTCAATCTACAAAGGCAAATAAACTTTTGTTAAATTATGGGCACCCAACAGAAAATTCTTCTTATGGAATAAAAAACAAAACGATTTGGGCCTTTCGCAGCAATGTATCTCAATAAAATCTTCTCGGGCGATCAGCCACATCAAATGGTTAAAAGACGAAATTGACGTTTCAGGTACCATCTCTGTCCCCATCATCAGGGGTTCTGATGTGACTGGATGTTGCGGTCATCTCCCATATATACCTGCCTGGCCAGTCCTTGTTGCTGGACCCTAGCCAATCACCGCTGGTGGGTGGAGTCAAGAGCTGGTGCTGTGTGGCCCTGCTTTCTATTGGTGTTTTGAAAGGATTGCTTGAGCATTTTTGTTACCGGATACAAAATTTTGGCACAGGACTTTATAGATGGATAAGGATAAATTAGCAAGAGATTCTTATGAATGGCTGACAAGAAATTTGAAACTTGAAAGTTGGGCAAAGAAGTTAAAGGAAGAATTACAGTGGAACCTCTATCCATCGTTCCCTCAACTATCGTTTTCCCGGATGCATCGTCCGTTTTGTTCGGTCCCGGATGCATTGTCCGTTTTATTCGGTCCCGGATACATCCCATATAAAATAATGTTACATTTTCCCGCTTCCATCGTTCCTCAAACTATCGTTTTATCGCATCAAGTGTTCAAAAATCTTAGTCCTGGCCTACAATTTTCCCGCAATGATCGTTTCTGAGAAATTATAACGAAATTTACGCGATGTTCTTAGAATTTAAAATGCTGGGTTTTGAGATAAATTAATACCGAAAGACGCACAATGTTTTTGGAATACACAGTAGTGGTAACCTGTTATGTTGCCCAACCAGCACAGATTCTTTTGGAATGAGGAGTCAGCGGTGCAGGGGTGATAGATGGAATGAATGGTGGTGCTCATTGTAAGAAATTTTATGAGTTTAATTAGGGTGCACTCATATTTCGTTCCAGCGATGCCAGATGGCATATGCAATGTGAATTTCTTCACAAATGCTTTTATTATAAGTACTTCTGGTTCATCTCGTTTCCAGTGGTTCAGTGTCTTCTACAGCTACATTTTGTTGAGTTCGGTAGTAACAGTATTTCCATTCTTGTTATTGTTCGCGAAGGGGGTGGGAGTGGTCACTGCCACCGGGTATAAACCCATTTGCAGTCAATAATAAATAATAATAATAAAAAGAGGAAGACGACGAATGCGAGCCCGAAGCTGTGCCGAGTTTTGCCGAAGCACATGCTGCATTGGCAAAAGTGAAGTCGTTCTTTTATGCGCATAATATTAGTGAACGTGACGAGGAAAACATTTTGAACGTGGAAAGGGCTCTGTTTGGCCTAAACTATAAAGTTTTGACAAACCAGTTGTCAATTAAAGACTTTTTTGGTAAAAAGAAGTAACTTTGAAAGAGAAACATTCAGTTTTTTTAAAATTTTTAATGCTTTCCCGCAACTATCGTTTTCCCGTATTCATCGTTTTTATTTCCCACCCCCGCCAAAAATGATGCATTGAGGTTTCACTGTATATAAAGTGGGGCTGGGATGTATTTGGCAGGATCCACAGGGAAGAAGTGTGGGTAAAATATGTAGAATTATTAAGGAAAGATGCAATGATACAGAATGACAGAATTCTTTTACAAAAATTAAAGAAAAGAGGTCATTAGTATCTTACTGGGAAATGAAATTGGCACAGGGTAAGGAAGAATACACTATCTGCTGTGCAAGGAAAGGGGTGGGCATGGTTCAGGGTGGGTATTTGGAAGTTGAGAGGGATGAGGAGAGGCTTTGAAATAGAAGTAAGCCCACCATGTTGGAAGGAGGAGAATGTTACACAAAAATATTAAAGTGTTCGGAAATGAGGAAGTGGAGAGAGCAATATGTCGATATAAAGTGGCTCAGTATTAACAAAGACACAGATCTTGCAAGTCTTAATGGATAAAAAATTACAAGAGCAGACTATTATGGCTAGCTAAATGTATGCACACAAACCTCTGGAATGTTACATGCAGTATCCTTGGAATGACGAGTTTCATACACTTGCATCATCTGTACTATAAGCTTTGCCTGGTCTCTGGCACGTGGTTCCAAATCCTTGAAACAAAATAATAATGTTAGTTTACAGCCTGTGATAACCACAGGAAAATCATTGCTTTTTGTTTTAAAAATTAAGGACAGGGGTGTCCAATAAGATAATGAAGGGTAATATAAAATTATAAAGAAAAAAATATTCCTGTTGGAGAGGAGCCCCAGAGAAGTTGTCCCTTTTTATTTCAAAAATTACGTACATGGGTATCTGTAAAACATGCAACAGCTAGTTTTTATCAAATGGCAAGTCTTGGATATAAATTTTATATTAAAAAAACATTCCTCTTGCAGAAATAAATCTGGGAAAATTACTGATTTCAGTCTGTTGTAGAGATTAGGCACAGGGTTATCTAAGAAATGTATACAATTGTATGTCACAAAAAAGGCAAATACAAAAATCCTCTTGGAAAATTAACCTTAGGAAATTGATATAGATTTCTATTTATAAAATTAGGCACAATGCATCCAAGTTATATAACTGCATGCTATAGAAAAAAGTATAAACACAAAATGATTCTCTTGGAGCATCAAATCTGGGAAAAATTAGCGGTTTTTTGTATAAGAATATCAAATAAGTAACAAACAACTATTAACACTATAAAAAAGACACTATTGCCATACACGTTTCAACTGCAAGAGATCATCAGTGGTATCTGGGAAATCAATTCATTTAACCAAATGGTTCAAACTGGATTTATAAATAAATAAGGCGTTTTACAAAAAGATATTTCAAACGATACTGCACTAGATGTTGTTATTCACAGAGTAGAACTACGTACTTACGTATTCTTTGACCTATCATTAAACAGGAGAAAGTAAAAAATTTTCAATAGTTGGCCACCCTGATTTCGAGCTTATATATACCCCACACATTCCAACCGACAGCCTCTCGCCCACGATTCTGGAGTTCACAGGTACGGACAACGCAGCGACAGCTCGCCGCAGACCATCTACGGCTACTGAACCATCGGATCAATAGCCAAGTGCATAGTTCTACTCTGTGAATAACAACATCTAGTGCAGTATCGTTTGAAATATCTTTTTGTAAAACACCTTATTTATTTCTAAATCCAGTTTGAACTATTTGGTTAAATGAACTGATTTCCCAGATGCCACTGATGATGACCTCTTGAGGTTGAAATGCATATGGCAATAGTGTCTTTTTATAGGGTTTTTTGTATGTGAACAAGAAGACATAAGGTGTCCAAAATACATATGTAACAGCTTTTCAGAGAAAAACTTATACAGTCAAACACCATTAGAGTGTCACACTTCATCCATTGCCAGTGACAACGTTAAAGCAGGGATGATGGTAAATTGAAAATTCTTTTTACTCGGAATATCTCCAACACAGAGCCAACTGATAGATTTACCCCATAAAAGGGAGAAATTATTGGCAATACTTTGCTGGCTTGCAATGGAATATTGTTCTTTGTCGGCATATACACCTTTTTATTTTCCACTAACACTGCCCTTTTCCCCATGCCAAACAAACACAACTGATTGTGACTATACAGTATGCATATGTATCCATGCAGTACTTAACTTCCTTATTGTGACCTCCCTGGCAACTGTCTTCACACTAAAGCGTATTTGCGTACTCAAAGTGCATGGAAAACACTTTCTACAGAACAGTCCATTACCCTAACAAAAATAATTCGTAATAATATTACTTGTCACAGTGTGCAGCTTAATCTGGGCAAAGTTTTAATTAACTAACCAACCACCCTGACTTGATACAGATGGCTTCTCAAATCAGTAGGTTCTATTTGCTAGCACTCAGGTGCTGGTGCAGAGCATTTTTACAAATGAATATTCAAGGGAGTTCTATGTGCAGCCAGTGAAAACAAAATGGCATGGCAATGTATCAGACTTGATTATAATACTTAATAATATATTTGAATTGCCACATATGTTGGTAGATCACAAGTAGTAGAGGTGGTATTTCACCAGGGAATTCCCTTTGAAATTACCACAGTGATGGTGCAATGTGAGCATGGCAATATACAAAAAGGTCCTGTAGAAGAGTTTGACTGTAAATACAAAAAATACGTATTTGAAGATGGCTGTCTTCTGGGTTGTTGCACTGTGTAGTCTGGTAGATGTTTACCGAAGTTTCAGAGGTCCTCCCTGCCTCCATCATCAGAGCAATGGAAAGTCAGTAGACATCCATCAGACTACACGGGGCAACAACCCAGAAGACAGCAATCTTCAGACTCACTATCACGAAAACCAAATCCTAAATATATATTCCTCTCAGGACCAACTTGGGAATAGTATTGTTTCCCTGTTTTGAAAACTATAATACGGGTGCCCAAAAGACTTGACCCATTGCAGAAAACAATGTTACATGTAATTTCCTATGTTATAAAGATTTTCAAGCAACTAAATTTTTTAATAATGCAACATAACAAAATTTTGGATTACCACCGAACTTCAATGCTTATTGCTGGCAATACAGTATTTTACTTGCTTACATCTTGAATTTTTACAATGGTGGGCATCAGATCAGACAGATCCATGCTGTATAACATGTAGAATCTTGCCAGATGCATAATGCAGTTCAGGTCTGAAGGATTCACAAGATAATGTAACTCCAAGAAACTGCGCATTCGGGAACTTCGTCCAATCACGTGAGACCGTTGACGACCAGCAACCCCTAAGTTGTTTGCCAAACGTTCAATAACCTGATAAAGCAAATAAAACAAACTGAATATTATGAAGACAATAAGATTAGGTAATTTTATGTGTAGTTCTAAAAGAGGTGAACATAATAGTGTCATTGTGAATGCATAAGATATGTTCCAGAACAGTGATAATTCAATCAATGCAAATTCCAATAAAAATCAAAGACAAGTTACAGTAAAATTCTGATTTGAATATCCAGAATTTAAAAGATAATTTTTTTATAGACTCAAACAAAACCTCCTTTCTCAAATCAGTCTAATCATGTGCAAAGCTATGCATAATTTGAGAAATTAAGTTACAATTATATGCTGCCTAGTGAGGCCCACAGCACACTTCAGGATCACTGGCCATTTGTGTGGGACAATGAAGTACTCAGAGAAAAATTTGCTATATCTCTACACCATCCATCTTTACCATTTCTAAACACACAATATATTATTTGACAATCAATGCTGTAAAGCAAAGCTTTATACCAATATAAAATACAAGCTACAGTTAGCCCTCGATTTGTGCCGATTCAGAATAATGCCGACTTTGAAACCAGAACGTTTTACAATGTTTCTTGTACTGCTTCTTATACTAAATCGTAATTCTTACATCACTGATTTTGAATAAAAATTGTAAATACAGTCATCTCTACAATTATGTATGTTTCGTTAATGCGAATTTTCTCCAATGAGACTGATGAATCAGTAAAAGCTGTTTGTGAAATGCAAACTTTTGCATATGCGAGTTTGTTCTTATGCAATTTCATTCCTGACACTTTAAACTTTCAAAGGACTAATTTAATCTTTGCGGAGGTCCCGGGGTTATTTTTACTACGTGATTTTCTATAGGAGCGTTATGGCATCCATGAGGCTTTATCGTGAAATTTTGAAAGAAAGAAGAAATCACAACAGTCCACAGTACATGCCTTCTTTAAAAAACATGATCCTCCACCAGGGACTTCGTCAGAGAACTAACGCCGCTTTATCATGCCATTGCCGATTGTAAGTTTATAAAATATATTTTTTAAATTCCCTTTATTTTATCTATGTTATTTCAGAGCTTTAAATGTAATGCCATTATATTACTCGTTAATGTTTGGGTGCTGGGAACGCATGTCATTGACTTCCCATTGATTTTACATTATAAAATTGTTCCAATTTACGCCAATTCCGATTACGCCGGTTAGTCCAGAAACACATCCCCGTCGTAAATCGAGGGCTACCTGTATAATGAAAACATACAAACAAAAGGAGGCATATTTCCTATTAAAGCCTCTTTGAAATCACTCAAAAAACTGGACCAGTGATAAAAATAGGGTGGTCAAGTATTCTCCAATTAGCCATGTCCTATGCTGTGTGATGATGTTTTCTTGCAAATAAAACTGTTTGTCTTGTCAGATTTGAATACAGACACTTTAAATGAGAGAGCCAATGAACAACAAATCATGGAAAAATAGAAGGAATGGAATACCTGTTTCCCTCACCCTCACAGCCTCACGACTGCCACACAAATAACACAGTAATAATATGAATTATAATACTGACAATTACCTTCTGCTTGTTTATAAAAAGATATTTGATATGTAGGCTTAACAAATAAAAATCACACATTCCCGTTATATTACTTATATTTCATATTTTAGTAACCATTTCCAAATGTTATCGGTATGAGATCCAGACAGAAATTTTTTAAACATACAGTTGAATTAAATACAACTGTATGTTTTTTAGGTAATATGAAATTTATTTATTATTTATTTTGCTTGCATTTAATTTTTTGTTAACATAAACAGTAAAAATATATTTTTTCCCCTTATGAAGTATAAACACTGTGTAGATATTCATCTGAAAATGGTCAAAATACCATTAGAATCTTACATGAAATACAGAATTTGTGGCCATTAAAAACCTTAGTATTTTCTAACTATTATTTACCAGCATTAAATGTCCAGCAGAAAATAATCCCACATTAAGCTCTGGGCAGGGATTAAATGCTTCCACACTGATCAGCTGACATACTTTACCTGAAGAGGTGTGGCAGGACTGACACTTATCCCTCGCATAGGACACTGCCTGTCAGGCGAATAACGAGGACAGCTGCGTTTTGTGAGAAACTGTCCACCATTGAACACATCTATGTAATAGTAAGGACTCAGTTCACCACCACATTCTTTAGTGCTACAAAAGAAAAAGTGTTTTGACAATGTGTGACTGAGCGCACAATAGAACAGTAATCCTAATAAATTCTCCACACAAAGAAAAGCTTTTACCTCACCTTCTTAAAATGATAAGTGTGAAATACATCAACAAGTGCCTCACAAATATTTCATGGTCAAGAAAAATGTGAATTTTTGTAACTATATTACTCACTGATATATGAAATTTTATAATTTTGACTGATTTCAACTATCATGTGAAGTAACCGTAATTTAGTTGATGAAAGACTCTCGGGCAACATGCTGTGTCAGGCGGCTGAATGGTGAATAAACCATTTCTTCCGCCAACATTTTGAGAGCCATCTCTGCTCTCATCCTCAGGGCAGCTGCAAAATGAAACTGGTCCTATGTAGCGCCGCAAGTTCCCATCAGTGAGCTCGCTACACAGGACCAGTTTTGTTTTGCAGCAGCCCTGAGGATGAGAGCAGAGATGGCTCTCGAAACGGTTCATTCACCATTCACCCACCTGACACGACTTGTTGCCCGAGAGTCTTTCATCAACTTCGGTCGCTGCAAAAGCTTCACTTTAAACATAACCATAATTTAATTACAAAGTTCATGACACACCCCAACAAGACAGAAAAATGTGTAAAAAAAGAGCAATGTACACTGAATGCCAGATACATATTAAATACACATGCACACAGTGTATCAAAAAACTATTATTTATAGCCTCACTGGTATATACAAAGTACCTTATTTATCTAAATATCACACACACCCCAAATAAGATGACCCTGAATACAATTTTTGTAGTGGTCTAATAAAATAATTTGCAGCTGATACCATTGCCATCTGAACTGAATTTCTGATCATCAATTTCCTAAAGTATGGTACCAGTACTTTGATCTGGTAGAAGTTCACAAATGTTTCACAGGTCCTTGCTGTCTCCATCATCACAGTGATGAGTGAATGTCTTCTGGATTGTAGTACTGTGTAGTCTGGTGAAAGTTTACCATCGTTCATTGCTGCCTCCATTATCAAGGCCATTAAACGCTGGTAAACTTCTATTAAACATTATGCTATAACCCAGAAAACAGCAATCTTCAGACTCACCACTATGAAAACCTCAAATTCTGACATGTGTCAAGATTTCTAGTGCCTTCAACTAGTACATTTCACTTGACACCACATAAAATAACAATCCATCTTGTCCAATTTGAATCAAGATTCAATGTGGTAAATTCTTCTGCCTCCTGAATTTTGCTTTTCACCCATCAAAAAGCCTGCTGGAGAAGAAATATTTCACTTCTCCAGTCGTGGAAGCAACTTTCTTTTAAAATTTTCTGGCCATGGTAAAATTCTGTATCTGTTCAAACTTCTCTTAAAATCTTGTTTCTCACAGACAGTAAATGTTTGCACTTCTTTGTTTCATTAATTTCCAACAGTTGTATTTGTTAATATAATTTACCAGTGACGAGGAAGGTTAGTATACGAGGTGCGATCGGAAAGTTTCCAGACTGTGTCGATAGCGGGCGAACCGGATGTAGTACGAGCTTCTGCCGCTAGGGGGTGCGGCCTACATTCATAGTGAATCAGTGTGCCAGCCGGCATCATCGAATTAGCATTTGTTTCTTAGTTACGGGCGTTTTGGTAGTGCATTACACCGACCCTCCTGCGATTTCGGAATGGCGTGTGCATCAAATTTTGCCAAAGACTCGCCAAAACGGCTACGGAAACCTATGAAATCCTAAAGCAAGCATTTGGGGAGTCCGCAATGGGTCGTGCACAAACGTTTGTGTGGCATTCACGTTTTAAAAATGACCGAACCTCTGTCGATGATG